TGCATAGAATATCTATAATCCTCTCCTCCTATGGGTCCCAACCCATAGAGGGAGCAAAACTACAAATATACTCCACTCCCACTCCTTTCTCAAGTAGTGTGGGACAAGGAGTCATTCAATGGAGGAAAGGACAAAAAACAAGAGAGGGAGGAGAGAGATTCTTGTAAATTTGAATTTCCCTCCAACAATCCCCCACAAAAATTCAAAATTACAAGATCGAACAATCTAAGCAACGCAGTGAGAAAAGTATTCATGGTGATGTCTTTTGGACTTCAATCAACACTTAGGTATGACAGGCTATGTTACAAAGTACAGGTGGAGTTAGACTCCTTCAACCTTTCCTCCTTGTCGTAACTATCTAACCGGCCAACAAACTCAACTCACTAATTCTTTAGTGGTTCTTTTGTTTTGGAACATTTCAGCCTTGTTTCCCTCTTGGAATCATGAGTGTTTTCGAGAGTCAGCCCTAAATCTCTCTTAGAAGCGGCTACACTTCACACTCACTTAGGTCAGTTATTAGTGTGCACTACTCACACTGTTCTTTCCTAAGTCATCTAGTGATTTCCTAAGTCACTTAGGTCAGTTATTAGTGTGCACTCCTCAATCTGCAGTGAGAACTATCTTACCTCGGCATCTAAAATGGGACACAAATGATAGTGCTTTCCTAAGTCATCTAGTGATTCGTTTTTACCCATTCAACCTAATTCCAAGGATCTCCTTTCACATAGGTTGGGTGTCCATCACTAATGACTTTGTAACGGGCTTCAGTTCCATTCCTACCGATGCCTCATAAACCACTTTAGAAGTTTGTGATTTGGTTAACAAATCTACAAGGTTCTTTTCAGACCTTACAAAATCCAGAGTGATTGTACCTTCACTGAGGTATTCTCTTACCAAGTTATGCCTTAAGCAGATGTGCCTTCTTTTACCGTTGTACGTCTGATTCTTGGCTATGGCTATTACTGCTTGGCTATCCCAATGGAGAGATATGGACAGAACCGGTCGTGGCCAAAGTGGTATAT